TGGGTATCTATCGACTATTGAATTTCTGTCGCGCGCGCTGCAACGACGCGCGCGTTATCGAGCCTATTTGCATCGCTGGATTCAATACCGCGCAACCACTCAACGTCCCGCTCGTTTTGAGGCACTCTCAAGTAGAATGCGCGGCATTATTTCGAGAAATCAAGCGAGACGACGCGCAATTATACATATACGCGATGCGACGTAAAAGTCGGGATTCTTGAGATTTAAGAGATCGCAACGCGCGAAATATATGTGTGTCTTCTTCCGCGGTATAAAATATTCGCTCAAGTGAGAAGAAGAGGAGATGGATTCCGTTCGCATCTCACGAGAATGGAATTCGCCTCCGCAAAACGCCTACGCGCAACACAGCAATAAAGCTCGCCGTCCTTTTCCCCTTTCCATCGGACTTTTCGTACTGGGTTAAGGGGAAAACGCGTGCGGTTCCCTCTGCGACTGAGCGACCCCATGACCACTCGGCACTCGGTCAACATAACGCTCTGCAGAACGATCAAATATTCAGCAGCGCTCCTACGTCAGACGTTTAACCGTGGACGGATACCGTCTTTATTTATTTGTTCGCGACGAGTTGTTTCTCTACCGTTGAACGGGACACCGAGCATCCACAACACGTGTAGAAATGCGTGACAAAAGAGGGAGTGAAAAAGAAAGGGATATATTTTTTCTTTCTTATCGTCCGGGAACATCGCCAACGTAGCCTTTTATCCAAATACGATTCTGACCCAAAAAGTCGAGTATCAAATTAATAAATTACAAGCCCTCTTTTTTCCTTTTCTCACTATCTATGGCACTCTCGTTTCTTTTGGCTTCTGTCCGAATAGCACGGTTTACGTGATCCCTGCATTCGTCTCTTGCCGAACTCACGCATGCTTTTCAGCGTCTCAAACGATTTACGTCGAAGGGAACCGCTTTCGCAGAATCATTCGAATGTTTCATCTCATTGGTGCCGCTCTACTACGTATTTCGTCACTCTTCGGAAACTGCTTCGGAAAATGCGCCAACGAAAATACATACGTACCATCGAAACGTCAAAAACAAAGTCGTATCCCAATATTAGGAATAAACATTTTAAATTGCGTTCAAATACACGGGATAAAATTTCGCGAAAAGTTGAAACATCCAAACTGATCTAGTTCTATCAATTTGCGGAAATATATATTCGAGACTCTGAAATAACTAACTTTATTGGCATTTTGATTCTTAACTCGTTAACGAGGTTGAATTGAAACTCTCTGGCACTTTTTTAACAAGCCAAATGAAAAGGAAACAGTAATTAACGCTTAAACAGAACGACGGTGGAGAATAATATTTCCGTGTGCCGCGTTGAATATTCGCTATACGCGCTACCCCGTTTGCTCTGGTTGCGGTATTCATGTTCACGGGGGGCACGGCGCATACACGGTTACCGGGAATGAAAACGCCGAATGAAAATTAGATATCCCGAAATATACCGGTGACGACGACGAGGGCGACGCGGTGGCGGGCGGAGGCCAACTGTGCGCGAAACCCGCGCGAGCTAAAGTATCACAATGACACGGCAGGGATGCATTTACCGGTGCTCTCGCCGGTGCTTTGACGACAGTCGCCAGATAGTCTCTTTCATCCGGTAATTAAGCGGAGAGCTCGAGAAGTTATCACCTGGCGCGATCGTTGCTGTGCTCCCTGCGCGGAGCGGCTCGTCTACCTGCCTCCGCTTCGAGTGTATGAAATAGAGGGTGGGAAGTGAAAGAAGAGAGATGGCGGCGGACTCTCTCTCTCTCCCTGTCGAGTTCAGTCCTTAATTAATTAACGCTGCGTCGAATAATAATTATCGAAATGAAAGATGATATCGGCGGTCTTATTTATTGGTAAACGATGATATCGAGCTAACGTATAATCCTACCCTCTCTAACGAACCACCAAATATATAGACGGTCTCCCTCTGTGTTGCACGAGCGTACTATATGCTCGCCTCTCGGCTATGTCATCGACCGATATCTAAACGCGACTCCCCTAATTGATTCATAAATTAATTTGCCCGAGCGATCTCATATATTTACGGCTCTTAATTATGGCTCGTTTAGCGTTCCGCCAAAGTTCAGTGAAAATGCATGCAAAGTATTGCTGATCCCTCGAAAGGATTGTTCGTGTTATTGAGGGTAAATCGGTGACATTTTATCCAGCTTGATTCATTCTTTTGTTCATTTCACGCGCGCACAAACACACACACACACACACAACGCTTTATTGTTTTATTCCAGTTCCTTTCGTGGCGAGCTCGCAGTGGCAGCTCGAAAGGCGTTCAAGACAAATTGCATTCTGCGAGGATTCAATCTAGCCATGGGAATGTTCAAAGTCCAGGGAGATCGCACGGACGCGTTGGTGCGCTTCGAGAGAAATGAAAGCAACGGCAAGCGTTTTGATGCGGCCAAAGAGATAAAAGGGAAGGAAACGACGCGATCGTTGGAGAGCGCGATTTTGGATGAAGGGCAGGTCGATTCGCAGACTCGTTAGGCCGACACAAACCGCAAACGCCCGGGTCTGTTCTACCACGGTGAAATGGGATATGTGTGTCTCCCCTCTCTTTGCGAATTTTCTCGATATTAAAGCTCGAGCAATGGGATTGCGACGATTGGTGGCGTGCGGCGATCTGCTTGGTGCCTGGATTCCCGATAATTATGTGCCAATTAAATTTAACGACTGTCCATTATTCCGGTCTACGAACGCTCGCGTATCCGTGCTCTCTGTCTCTCTTTCTCTCCTTTCTGTTTTTCTCTCCCTCCATCCCCTCCTCTCTCCTTCCCCTCTAATTTTACCTTTCTCGATCATACAGCTGCACGATCAAATCGGCAACAACTATCATTCGAATCGCAATCCAATTACTTTTTAATATTATCGGGGCGCGTCTGGAATCGAGCTGCCTTTGCGGAAACGTCGCGCGACCACATTATAAAACTACGAAGAACTCCCGCTGGCAAATAAATGCTTCCGGGCTGGCTGCGTCCCTTTCTCACATACGTCGTTGTCAGGAGCCATTTGCTCACCACGGCTCTCGCCATCGCTATCAAATGGAATAAAGTGTCAGCGACCAGTTCCGAGGGAAATTGGAAGTTTGGAACGTAATTTGCTACGATCGATCGCATAATTCGAAGAAAATGGGGAGGAAGCGCAATAAATATTTTTGTCATATCGCATTTTATCGTGTCTTTCTCTCTGATTTATGGTTTTTTTTTTTCGAAAAAATTTTTAGAAAATTTTGAATTTTATATCCTGTTATCTTTAATTACAATGACTGTCGTCATTAGAGTGCTATAATATTATTTTTGTATTATTATAAAGATTGTATCGCACGTCACGTGTAAACGTCAACATCTAGTATTCACGTTAAGGCATCCAATTTCATGCTGTCTACTCGTGTAATTGTTTTAAAAAAGTATGTCTCTCTTTGCTGCCGCTCCTCGGTACGTCCTCGTTAAGAATTCAAGCGTTTCAACCACAGATTAACCCGCCATCGGACCAGTGTTTACTACCATTTTCCAAGCTCATTAAAAGAATGAGGCAAACCTGTAGCGAGCTCAGTTTAATTATCCCGTTGCAGATGTAAAACATATTTAGAACGTAATATTTACACGTAAATATCGTTATCGACTCATTTACATACATTTGCTCATTACATCAGCGTGCTTGCTGATAATTTGTTTATTCCAGGATATATACTCCTACCGCTAAAATTGCTATTTAACAGATGGCTAAGCTAAAGAAGATAGGCTAATTTGTTATTCAAATGCATTGGCGTGTAAAGAATAAAATATAACGTCGCAGCGGTGCACAAGATTTTCAATATTCAGAAACAAGTTCGATGAAACGAAGAAAATGTGAAATGTGCATGCGCGAGAAGAAATATATAATAGTACGTACTATTTTTTAATCAAATGCCAATCATTCCTAAGCTGTGCAATGCTGGGCGAGAAATGATTTTCTAAAAAGAATTTTCTTCTTTATATGAAGATCCTGTTTATTCTAATATATACCTATTCTCTAAATCAATTTAAATTTTACGATAAATATTTGTTCACTCTTATCTGTCAAATTTGCAAGATTTTATTACAAATTTTCTTGTAAATTTTTTAACGCATTATCTCATAAACGACATTAACGCAAATTCAGAAATTCGGCCGCATTATATTGTATCATGCAAATTTATGATTATCCATCTTATATAATTACTAACAGCATGCTCTTATTGAGAAAATAATATTTATTGAAAAAAATCTTACCATCCCCTATCTATCAATAAATTCGAAGGCCACTCGCGTCTGTAGAGAAGATGGCAGCAGGCAAGCTTGATATAACTTCTAACATCAAGTTTAGGAATTTGTGTTGCGGAAATAGGGTAGGGTGCTCGTCATCGGCACAGAGAGTAAGGAATAGTTGGTAGGGGGGTGAGCACCAACACAGAATGACCACTAAACACCTAACAACCAACAATAGCAGTCAACATCGAACATCGATAAACCAACGAAACTTAACCAACCACAAATCACATTGTAACGGAATTCAGCGAACAGTGAAGATCCACCAATACATATATATATTATAAACGTAAACAAATATATATATATATATATGTATATGTAGAATATATACAAAACGTATATGCAATGTTGAATGACGTGTGATATACGTACGTGCGCTCGAAGAATGTCTCTGCCAAGGTGCGTCGTCGAGACGACGCTCTAAGGAATAATTTTGAATCGATAATAACACAAATGTGTACGTTTCGAACGTTCTATCAAATTCAACGCGATTGCCAATAGACAGAGCACTCCCGGGTCCACGTTCGTTTGATGGCGAAGGCAGATCTTGGCCTCTCGCAGGAGTCTCCCATCAAAACATCAAGAAGATAAATACTAATTGTGAGACACGAGAACGTAAAAGAGTGAGACACGTTAAAACTTAATGACACATCTTGAGAGACACCGAGTAGGGATATGATGACGTACCACATCGAGTACATTGAGAACGTGGTTCGCGCGGACGACACTAGTAGTGGTAGTAGTAGTAGTAGTAGTAGTGGTAGTAGTAGTTGTTGTTGTTACATTGTGTGTTGTGGTCGTGGCAAGAAGAAGAAGAGATGGAGGAGGTGTGCGGCGCCCCCGGCCAGCCGGTCGCCCGTCACACCCTGAAACAGAATAATATTGTCACTCCTCTGCGAAGAAATACCCTCCCTATCGACTATTTCTTCTTTGTCAGCGCTGTCTAAATATAACTCATTCGTTAGTGATGTGTCTCACGATGATCGCAGAAGTATATCTGTAGATAAATTAATACACTATACAGTCGCGACATTTTATATTCTTTGCATAAAAATATTATTTTCTCTTGTGACAAATATATTTTTAAAGTATATTTATATATATTCTACATAAAGCACCGTCTCAGATTTAAATAAGATGGAAAGATACAACTGTGTTTAAAAAAATCTGTTTTAAATTATAAACTCGTGAAGACAACACGAGCTCTAATAAAATCAGTAGATCCAATTATCAAAATTGATATGTAATAAAATAAAATTCAATCTTGGCATTTAAAATTAGAGATATTTGTCAGACGTTAAAGTTGGAGACTAGTTGAAAATTAAATTTTACACTCAATGTGCGCTTTACGTGTGAGGGTCTGACAGTGTCGATTACGTTTGTTACAACTCGGTTTTATCAGTGGCTCCAATACTTTGCTCACACAGAGTAGCGGCGCGAAGTCTCGCCGTGTGGAGGGTCGAAGCCGAAAAAGGGAACGAAGCTTTATATCGAGGAAAAGGGGATTTCGGATTTGCTGGACCGTGTCCACCCCCATTGCATCGTTTACACTAACACGAGTGAACAGACGAGCACGAGCGCGCGCGCGTCTGTACATACGAAGGAAAGGCAGAAAGTTGACGGAATAAGAGAAAGAGAGAAAGAGTGATGTGACGGTGAGTAGAGGGGAGGCTTAGAAACGGGAGCAGCGACCGGGATTTTAACGTCGAGCACACTCGTTTCGAGTCGATAGGTCCACTTCGACTGGCTTGGGAAGCAGTCGACATGGTCCAACAACTTCCTCTCCGGCTTCCACCTCGCTCCGCGTCCTCCATCGCCCTTTCGTCCATCTAGCCATCATCTTCGTAGCAGGAAACAGGGCGTGAGCGGATGGAAGTTTTCATAACGCTCACACGCAACTGACAAAAACACCGATCCTCGATCCGATTCTTGTTAGGAAACAACGGAGTTTTTTTTTCAGTTTACTCGCTGGAAGAAGTGGGCACGCTTGTCATAAAGTAATGTTAGTGATTTTTGCGCGATAACCTCAATATACGAACTAACACGTCAAGCAACCATCGCGTTTTCTGATGTAGATTGGGAAATTATTATTCACGATATTCAAGATGAAGCAAAAAATACGAGAAATGATGTTGAATAAATTGTGAGACGTAAAAGACTCACTCGTGAGAACCGTAGCACGTGTCTCATCACGGTAAGAAGGATACGTGAGGTTTATTTAACTCCAAGAGAGACTTCTCCCTACGGCGAAGTAAATTCGAGTATGCTGATAGCGAAATATCATGATTATCTTCAACTATTTAAGCAAAGATCATAAAAATCTTTGTTCGTCGCGATATCCTAGTTAAATATTGTTGCAACGTGCTTCAGCATGAACTGAGTGATAATGATCCTGCAAACGTATTCATTGAAAAGAAAACAAATAGATAGAGAGAAAAAATGGAAGGAAAACAAAATAGAAATTAAAACATGTCTAATATATATACAAACACATTTAAAGAGGATATAATTATAATTTTATATTAAACGGTATATAATTATACATATATGTGTCTAGTCTTTTAGTAAATTTAATTAATTTTTTTGATGAAATTGAATTTGATATAAGAAGAGTTTCTTTTGCAGTAATACGTATTCGTCAGTATTATTGAAATCATTGTTTTCGTTTCCCAAAATTCGTGGAAATAAATAGGGTGCTTGCTGGCAATAGAGGGATGCAGAAAATGGATTCGCGCACACAAACACACAGTGAGGCGTGTGTATGGACGCAAATGGACGGAAATATTACGCGGCGCGGGAAAGAGGGAAATAGAACGCCGAGAGAGAAAAGCGGGTTAGTGAGTGAGGGACAGCGTTTGCAAGTTTATTTTGTACCACACAGTGAAGAAAGTTCCATCCAGCTGTTAGTCGCGTCTTCCTTAGTTTTCCTTTCGATGAAAACTCGCTCGCGAGTTCTATAAGCTTCCATCTTCCGTGCACACAAGCTACTAAAGAGCAAATAACCAAATGTGGCTTCTCTGCACGTAAGAGCAAAGTGTAATAAGAATGTAATCACAGTGTAATCATAAAAGAAGGATTGACGTAGATTTGACTTGGAAAGTACTTGCAAATTAAGATTACTGCTTTTATCTTACGTTAGAAAAAATAGGAAGGTCGAGAATGTAAAAGAATGATTCTATTAAAATATAAATGATAACGAATAAATATAAACGCGGAAGAGACAAAAGAGTGAACATTCAAGAGTTTCCTCGACTGATTTTTATTTTGTCAATCGCTAGACTCTCGATATCGCTAGAAATAAATATGTAACACGGAATACATCATTCCCTGGATTGCCGTCATACTAGGCCGCTTGTTCTCGTCACAAATAGAACCCCCGGGAATTATACCGCGGAGCATCGGCGGCATGGGATGGGTTGACGCGATAATACTGGTTATCATCGCGCTGATTGCACCCATACCTCCTCCCCTTCGCTGCGCTCGCTACAGCCGTCGGGCTGTCTTTCATTGGTACCTGCATCTGACCCGGTATATTTCCACCCGAGCTATTCATTACGGGCGGCGATCTACAACGATCGTTCCTCTCACGATACATCGACGTACGAAAATTGGCGAGCAGCACGGTAGGGATTAGTTTATGCATTCATACTCGCAGGCGCATGAATCCTTAGGGCGGGAAAGCCCGTATCGTACCTAGATTACGGCGCTTTGGCGGTGAATGTACAAGTGATACGCGCTTGATGATCCGGCAATTTTCAAGAGGGAGGAAGTTTTACAACAAAGATCCGAGGTAATTTAACTGAATGGGCCGTTTTACAAATTAACTCTTCCGAACTTTGGCTAGTCCGTTGCACTTTCGCTTGTAAATGGCGAAAATTATTTTAATTGCACGCGAAACTCTATTTTCTCCTATCCTCGGCTGAAGTAAAAGCGCGACCAAAAGCGTGAAAATAACTCCCGCATAAGACTCACGTAAGCGTTCGAAAGTTACTCGAAGATGATCATACATATAGAATGGTGACTAGGTCTCGTAATAAAATTCAACGAGGCGTGAGATCGTTTGCGTATCGCGATGCGCTTGAAAAAAAAAAGAAACGGAGTGAAACGTGCCACGGCCCCGTTATTTGCACTCGTAAACGCTGTCGTACATCCACGCGCCTGCATTTGCGGCAAAGGTAACGAATGGCAGAAGGTAAAGCAGCCACACCTTCGTATGAAACTCTCTTAACCTCTCTCTCCCCTCGCGTCTCGCATACATACGTGTGTTTACGTTGCAAACGCGCCACACCAGGCGGAACTAACGATAACGAACGGTTGCGAACGTAAGAGACCGGTTCTCGGAGCAAACGTCATTTCGACCGAGCGTTACACGAACGATGCGTGAGGTAAGAGAAAACGAGCTACTTGCCAGATTCCGAAAGAGAAAGTAAGTGAGTACAGCTCATAAATGTAGTGGTACTGAAGCCAAGTAGCTAGATACGGGATTTGATTTATCTTAAAGCACGTTCCGTTCCACAGCGCAGCTAGAAAAATGGCATAGAAGAAAAAAGAAATAATTAAATTGTACATATATACGTTTATTAAAGATCGTTGGAATATTTGTATGAATTGAGAGATATTAATTAGAGTAGAAATAGCATTCCAACAATCTGATTAATTTAATTGAATTTAATAAAATTATTAATTATTATTAATTAGCGGATATACGAAGAATTCCAGAAGTGTTATACATGATTGATACGAGATATAAATTACCAACAATAGAGCGTGTAATCAACTGCACGTAGGGTAGGAAGAGTTTAAATGCGGATTATAAATAAATTAAGAGAAAGGCGCGCGTAAGAGCGATAGAGGTTTCACAAAGCGGAAAGTTTGCCGATATTCCGCGAGAAATGCCTACGCACGAGAGCGGTAGATAATCCCGACGATCATCTCGGCGCGACAGCTCGAAAGTTCCGGCCGTTTCGGGAGACGTAGTGTGTACTTCGCTGGTTTATAGCTGCTCTGCGGTCGTCGGGTTTCCAAGTGGTCAGCGGCCGGTTCCCGCCAGCGTTATCCACTTGCATCGTAACTAGTCGTAGCAGCAGTAGCAGCAATAGCAGCGGGAACGGTAACGATGGTCACTGTTGCCGACCTTGTTGTTGTTGTTGCCGTTGCTGCTGCTGCTGCTGCTGCTGGCTGCTGTCTCGACGGTCCAGCCGCTGTACCGAAACCGGCGACTGCATCTGCGTCGTGCCAAGAGGGCGGAGGGTACGGGAGGGGGAGGGGAAGGGAGGGAGTGCGCTAGTAAATTACACGTTGACTAGGGCTGACAACCGCAATGCGTGGCACACACACGGTGCGGTGCGCGCACGGCGTGCCTCCCCTCTGCGCGAGACGCCGGTGTGTTTATGCGGCCAGTGAGTCAGGCTCTGTCAGCCGGTCTAGGCCGTTCCTGTGAATTATAGACGAGCCGGCCTTAATAAAGACGCGGTGGATGCCCGAAATTCTCGCCCGGCGTTCCATTGGCCGGCCGAGTATGCCGCGATGATTTCGCCGAATTGCAGACCAACGCGTAGCGACGCCACGCCGCGCTGCGTGACGCACTCGTTAAGTTTCGTACGTTCGTTACGCACCGCTTCGCGAATGTCGTATGCAGCTGGTTCAACGGACCACGATACTCGGCCAAATGTCGAGTTTCATGAAATAACATAATGATTTAAAAAGCTATCATCTTCTTCGTCACACACACACACGTGGACAATTTAATGAAGCTCGAGACTGAACGTTTGAGTTTGAGAATAATTAAAAGGCCTTATATTGCTAATAAAGTATATGCTTTCGAGAATAATGTAATAATGCAATATTTAAAAAAAGAATACACCGA